TTACAACATGTTTGAGTAGTTTCCCAGTTGAGTTTAAAGAGATTTTTCAAAGAGAATTTAATGTGTCTTCTTCCCAGTTGATCACATTTATCATTTATTTCCATCATAAGTGTAGTCCATGACTCCCTGCAAATACCCTTAAGCCCAACGTCTGTTTTTAATTGTTTACACCTTCGATTTTTATTAGCTTTTACTTGTTTGTTTTCTAGTTTACATTTTGTGACACCCAAAACAAAAAAAAACCCAAATTGTTAGTTCTAGTTTGATTTAAGCATTAGCGTGAATTCGTACTAAAACAACTGAGTCTCTGTGGATCGATACCCTAAGTACTACAACGCACATTTGTGCACTTGCAGACAGTTAGGGGTTATAAATTTAGAACCTGAAGCTTAGTAAACACACCTCCGTTTTCCATTGCATCAAAAGTCTGGCGTCTGGCTTTCATATAATAGGTGTGAATGTTCTCCATGATGTATCTGAAGAAGAATTGTAGACAGTCAAGCTTCCAAAACGTCATTTAAACCTTTTTAGATAGGGATTGGCTTCACGAAGTTGTTAAACTCAATGAGTCTCGCTATGGAGATTTGTGAATTTCGTCTTAATGAGTATCTTGGGTTTGCATGTTCAACAAACAAGCCATATTCTTCATCTTCAGAGCACTGTTCTTCAAAGTCGTTTTCACAAGATATAGCCATATTGCAAGATGCATAGGTTAATGGCTCATCTTTATCCTGAGATTTTTGGGTGCTGATAAAATAGATTTCTTGCTCAAAGAGATAAATTCTGGTCACTCCATGAGGTGCATCAGATGAGCAATGACCTGTATGAGTCGAAGGAGGTTGATCAGGGACGGACCATGGATCTCCCGCGGTCAGAGGAGACGCGACCGTGGAGAGCTGGTTGTTGGCTGCGGGTAGAGAAAGCATGGCCACGGGGGGAGGGCTTGTTGGTCGTGGTCATGGAGGATTGGACCGGGGCTGGCTATGGCTGAGGTGAATTCCTTGATTCACCTTCTTCTTCGTCTTCTAAGTAATCTCTTGGGTCTGTAGGCTCAATGTACTCCTTTCCTAGGTCAAGATCATTGTTGAGAAGTGTTGAATCATGCACTTCAAGTCATTGCATAATCTTCTCAACCTTTTCTTCAACTTCATCAAGAGAATAGACAACTTTGTCTACAGTGGAATCTATCTCATCGGCTTTGTCTCGAACCTTGTGTACGCCATCTCATAGGTCTTCCACATAGACGTAATTCTGGTTATGACCATTGATGGTGTCTTCTTCTTCATCGAGCTTGATCCCTAAAGTGCGGATGTCATCAATAGCTTTGCAGATGTTGATTTTGGTCTGCCCTACTCTTCCTTCCATGTCGTCTATTCTTCCTTGGATGATTGCAGCATCTCTATTTGCTCGTTCTTCAGTGGATTTAACTTAAGTAGAGAGATCTTCAAACTTTTTATTGAAGATTCTACAATGAAGGGCGACTTTTGTGACGGTGATACCACCTGATTTTGACCACTTTTATTGATCAATTTTAATATCTTATGCAGGTCTTTTCACTCAGATTTAAAGGTTTTTTAAGTGATTTCCATGTTTCAGAATCTCAAAAGAGTTTTCAGGTTATTTTGACAAAATGAATGCACTTGGGAGCAAAAAGCATAACTTTGGATAAATTCAGACTGTTGGAAGTTTGGTAACAAACGGAGGCTTTTCCACCGTCCGATCATCTCCAAAACTTGACACAAGATATATAAGACAACCAGCTTTCCAATACAATTGAAGTCAAAGAAATCCAACGGTTAGATCTCCAAATATGGTCGATACACTGAAGGCTAATCATCACAGTCAGAAGCTCATCCGCGGCCAAAACGTCATCCGCCGGGGGTGCGAAATTTTAGACCGGGGGGAGCTCAATTCCGAGCCTCAGAAGCCCATATTAAAGCCCAAGTCATTCCCGTCATTATTCCTGCAAGCCCAAGGCGTTCCCGAGGACTCAAGACACTATATAAATCTCTTTTAAGTCGTTTAGAAGGGTGTGCCACATTTCTCACCAGGAACCCTAGAAGAGATCACGCCCAAAAGAGGAGCCACCGAGAGGGGCACCATCGGATCTCTTGCTTCAACCTGTTCTTCGTTTCTAAACTTTGTCTATTTCAATTTTCTGAAATTCTAAAAGCTTTTGTGATGTTGAACTTAGCTATGTCTGAGTAATTTTCCAGCTGGGTTTTTAAGGAATTTTTCAAAGGGAATTTCATGTCTTGATCATATGCTTATTGCGACTTAGGGTTCATAATCTTCTAGGAGTCCTTCGTTCATTCTTGTTCCATATGCTGTTTCTGTTGCTAACCACTTAGAAATTGATCTCACTAATTGGAGCCACGAGAGTGTTGTATCGAATTATCAGACCTAGAAGTGATCGAGCGAAATCGCTGTAGGAAACGAAAGCTACCTACAGAGAATCGAGAGCGTGGATGAATTCTGTTTTTAATGCGTGATCTTATTTGCAGCATGAGAGCGAGAGTTAATTGCTGTGTTGAGTGATTAGATGATTAGGATGACGAGAGTTGGCTAATCTTACATGTGTCTATTCGAGTTCGGGATCCTCACTAGTTGATTTCCTTTATCGATTTGTTTGTCTTTTGATCAGTTCATGAACCCCTGCGAAAACCCTTTAGACCCAGCGATTTGTTCCTATTGTTTTACAACCTCTTTATTTCGATTTGCTTTTAGATTTAGTAACACCAAAACCAAAACCCCCATTTGCTTTTTCTACAATTCTTAAGTCTTGATTGATTCGTACTGAAAGCTCAAAATCTCTGTGGTTCGACCCCTAAGTACTACAGCGTACATCTGTGCACTTGCAGATATTTAGGGTTATAAATTGTAGACACATGTAAAAGTGACCCTTGATTCTCTTAGCATCATGTTCTTGGCGCCGTTGCCGGGGATTTTGATTCCTTTCGTTGCAGATCTCTGCTTAATTCGGTAGAACTTTTTCTAATTTTTATTTTTCTTTGGTTTTTCAGGTACTTTTCGATGAGGGGTCAGGAACACATCCTTGATCTTCTCGCTGAAGAGGACCCTTTTCTAGATGGGGATCCATCAGATGATGAGCTTAATGACCCAATCGATGATGGCAATGAATCGAATGGGGGACCAGAGTATGCTAAGAAGGGAGAATAGCTGATTGGAGAATGTGATACACACAAACTTTTCGCAGATAGGCGAGCAATTCGACCACCCTTACCTAGGATGGCGACTCTGAGGCTAAGGTACAATCCATTAGCTATATCAAAAATTATAACGGTGATGTGGTGGTGGTGACTTGATGTGTCGAGAGGGTTGTCAAGTTTTACCCTAATTGAAATCAATAGCCGCAAGTGCACAGCTGATCGATTGGAGTACTTAGGGATCGAATCCACAGGGAAGGAGGATATTTTCCTGCAAAAAGCCTTTGAAATAAGTATTAAGTAAGGAAGTCTTGAACCAAAACGGTTTTGTGGGGGTTTGGTAGTGTGCTTAAAATGTAAAAACGAAATATTAAAAGAGAATACGGGAATTAAATGACGTAATAACTAAACTTAACGAAAATGACTAAAAATGATAAAACAGATATTCTAATGCTTAAATGAAAATGAACTAAAAAGGAAAGACAATATTGAACTAGAGCTTGAAAGAAAATCAGTGAAAATCAATGGGAAAGAAAGCGTTGGGGTTCAGGGAAGTTTTCTCAGGGGTACGAACGATTCAAAACATTGTTAGAGAGTAAAATTGATAAGATCTTAGTTTAAAATTTTTGAACTGGAGTCACGGACGTATGAATACGCCATTGTCGTGATCATAGACAACTATCTCTCTCAACCCTGACCAGTAGGTTTCCACTCTGGCCCTGGAAGAGAAGAGATGCATTATGTTTAAGACTCGTCCTAATTCACAAATCGCCCATAGGTAGGTTTCCACTCCTATGTTTGTTTTGCTCTCCCAAACTAGATCTGATACCTGATGAACACTTTCGTGTCACCAAGCATCTGGATCAGATTGTAGTTCATGACGCTACTCTCATGCAGTAAAAACGAATTCAGAAGAAAACGTTCTAAGATTCGGCTCAAAATCTCATGGAATCGTCATCGAACATATAAATCCCCATCGAAAATCCCTTAATCCCAACAATAAAACTACTCAGACATAATGAACGAAATCAAAGAGATAGTATTAAGAAGTAGAATAGAAACCGAAATTGAAAAAGAAAGAACTAGGGTTCAAGATAACAAATCTCTCTCTCCCTAAAAGCTAAAGCAAAAACAATAAAATTATGAAGTAAATAATTCGGTGGTCTGATGATATTCTCGATTAGGGTTCCTAAGACATGTATTTATAGTGCTCAAGACCTCTCTGGACGTCACTTAGGGTTTCTCCAAATGTGGGCTTCAGAAATGGGCTTTTTGGGCTCGGAGGTTGATGGCCGCGGTCGGGAGGGCCCTGACCGTGGGGAATGAGTGGTTTGCCGCGGTTGGGATGCTCCTGGCCGCGGGAAATTGCTTGTTGTCCGCGGGTGGAAGTGCTTGCCGGCTGGTTTACGGGACATCTTGCTATTCGCGTATCTTTTGATTGAACCGTTGGATTAACAAGCTGTAAAGTGCACTGGAAGGCTGATACTTCCATCTTTAAGGTCTCCAAATTTGAGTTGGATCAGACGGTGAGAAGGCCTTCAATCAGGGGTGAACTTCTGACGGTTTGACTCTGAGCTGAAATCTAGTTTTCTATCCATTTTGTTAAGCTTTTCCCTAAGTTACCTGAAAAGAGTCTTGGAACTACAAATACTAGAAAAACGTGATAAAAGTACTTAAAATTAATTAAAAACATAGAAAAAGCATTTCAAAACGATCCATAAAAGTGGTCAAAATACGGTGTTATCAAACGGTTTTTCTACTGAACACCCAATAGATCATATTGAACATTTTGAAGAGTTGTGTTCAACCATAATGAAAAATACCGATTACCATATGTGTGTCCTTTTTCCATTCTCTCTAACTGGTAGAGCTAGTAAATGGCTTAAAACTTTGCCACCTGCGTCCTTAAAGACGTGGAAAGAGTGTAGAGAGGCTTTCCTAAGTCATTTTTACACCAGAGATCGTTCCAATCTCTTAAGGGACAAGATCCAAAAATTCCAGCAGAAGGACACAGAAGATCTCTATGACGCCTGGGAAAGATTCAGAGATTACCAAAGAGATTGCCCACACCATGGTTTCTCCGAGGAGCGTCTGATGACCATCTTCTACCATGGATTTAATGAAGAACTGAAGTTTTCTTTGGATGCCTCTAGCAATGGAGACTTTTCCACTAGAACTGTAAGATGAGGCTCACGCCTATATCACTAATCTAGCTGGGAGTATCAGAAATAGGAGACTTCTAATCCAATCTAGATGTCCTAAAGTTGAGGAAAAAGAATCTTCTGTTAATAAAGAATACCTAGATCAGATAAGAGAAGGCATCCAGAAGATTCTTAGTGTGATTGATCATATTCATAACTCTGATGAGGGAAACAATCATAGCAAGCCCTACATCGAGAAGATGAACAACCTTGAGGTGGAGAGGAACTTCCAAAATCAGGAGATGATGCAAATCGCTGATGTTTACCAGATTGAAGAGGCTGAGCAGAATCAACCCCACCAGGGGTGGGAGCCTTTCAACCGCGGCAAGACCGATCTCCACCGTGGGTGGGAAGCTTTTGACCGCGGCCAAGAGGAATTTCACCGCGGGTCAGAGCACTTCACCCGCGGCAAGCCTAGTCTTCAACCTCCTTTCCAAACCTTTTTCGAGCAAACCCATTCTGATCAATCCAATCCCACAATACCTCCTTATTATCCTTTCTCCAAGATTGAAGAGCTTGAAAAAGAGGTTAATAGACTCAAAGAGGAGATGGAAAGTCAATCAAAAAGACATGAGGATTCTATTAACAAGCTCTCCACACTTTTTCTCCTCCAGATTAGTGATGAATCAAAAGAGTTGGATTCCTCCGTTAATGACCTTGATGAACCTTTTTCTGAAAGAATAAACGAATGGGAGACCTCTGATCACTTAAAAGCAATCACCCTCAGGAGTGGTTTAGCTTACAAGGAGCCAGAGTACCCAAAGTATTTCGAAGAAGGAGATGCAGTAGTCGGGAAAGAGGGAGAAAAGGAAAAGAAAGACACTTCTCAAGAAATTGCTGAAGAAGAACCTATGCCACCTCCTCTTACTCGTGTCTACAAGCCCAAACCACCATACCCACGAGCTTTGAAAGGACCAAAGAAGGAGAAAGAAAGGGCTAAGCTGAAAGAGATAGTCGAGCAGTTAAATGTAAGATTACCTTTCATTGAAGCTTGTGCAATGATACCTGCTCTTAGGAAATACATGAAGGGCATTCTAACAAATTCTATAGCATTAGAAGAAGGTGTTATGATGATAACTCATGAATGTAGTTCCATCTTACAAAACCATATCCCCTAGAAGAAAGAAGATCCGGGAAGTTTTGTACTCTCTTGCACAATCAAGAATATGACTTTTGAACGTTGCCTATGTGATTTGGGATCGAGCATCAACATGATGCCTCTCTCAGTTGCAAAACGCTTAGGATATCATACTTTCCAGCCCACAAAAATCTCGCTGATTCTTGCTGATCGATCAGTTAGACGACCAGAAAGAGTCTTGATTGATATATCAGTCATGATTGGAGAAAACTATACTCCGACTGATTTCGTAGTGCTTGAATTGGAAAGAGAACCAAAGGACCCTCTGATACTCGGTACACCTTTTTTATTAACTGCAGGAGCAATAATCAATGTTCCGGAAGGAAAGATAGACCTACATCTAGGAAGTTTGATTATGCAGTTTGATATGAACAAGAGTCTTGAGAAACCCACTTCAGATGGCGGGCTCTGTCGGGTTGATGAGCATGATGTTATTACTGAGGAAGTTAATGAAGAAATCTTTCTTGATGATCCTTTAAAATCATCCTCACCACCACAAATGATGATCACAACCTGCTCGAAGAAGTTTCAAAAGGGTGTGCGCAAATGCTTGATAAGGCCGAGGATTATGCAAAACTTGTGAACTATCTGGACCTGAATGAGGAATCTCACATCCTTACTCCTCCAAAAGATACCTTGGCAGCTATAAACGACCCATGGAGCGAGCTCAAAGCTCCAGAAGTCGAGCGTAAACCTCTTCCTGATGGACTCAAGTATGCTTTCCTTGGGCCAAACTCAACTTACCATGTCATCATAAATTCTGGCTTAAGTAGAGCTGAAACTACTAAGCTGTTAAATGAGATTAGGAAGTATAGGAAAGCTATAGGCTACTCTCTTGATGACATACAAGGAATCTCCCCGGACCTCTGTATGCATAAGATAAATCGTGAGGACAATGCCAAGAATTTGATTGAAAGCCAAAGGAGGTTGAATCAAAACCGGATGGAAGTGGTAAAGAAGGAGATCATGAAACTTTTGGAATCAATCATATTCCCTATCTCGGACAGCACTTGGGTTAGTTCTGTGCATGTTGTCCCGCAGAAGGGATGAGTGACTGTTATCAAAAATGACAAGGATGAAATGATTGCTACAAGAACAGTGACAGGACATCGAATGTGCATTCATTACCGAAAACTGAATGCAGCAACTCGGAAAGAACATTTTCCTTTACCCTTCATTGACCAAATGCTAGAAATATTGGCAAATCACGAATATTACTGCTTTCTAGATGGTTATTCCAGATTTTTTCGAATTCCAATTAGACCCGAAGATCAAGAAAAGACGACATCCACCTGTCCTTACGGAACTTTTGCCTATGGGCGAATGCCTTTCGGATTGTGTAATGCACCTGCAGCCTTTCAGCGATGCATGATGTCTATTTTCACTGATTTCATCAAAGATTTCATGGATGATTTTTCAGTCTATGGATCCTCTTTCGACATATGCTTGGCAAACTTAGAGAAAGTTCTGCAGCGCTGTGAAGAAAAGCATCTCGTCCTTAACTGGGAAAAATGTCACTTCATGGTCCGCGAGGCAATTATGCTTGGACATAAAATATCTGGAAAACGTATTGAAGTTGACAAAGCAAAGATTGAAGTAATGACTAGCCTACAACCCCCAACTAATGTGAAGGGAATCCAAAGTTTCCTAGGGCATGCCAGATTCTATAGGCGATTCATAAAAGGCTTCTCAGAAATTGCTAGACCTCTCACACGTCTTCTCTGCAAGGAAACGAACTTTGAATTCGATGATGAGTGCTTGGCAGCATTTCATAAGATCAAAAACACCCTTGTTTCCACTCCAGTTGTGCAACCACCTGATTGGGAACAACCATTTGAAATCATGTGTGATGCGAGTGATTTTGCTGTTGGAGCTGTGCTTGGTCAGCAGAAAGAAAAGAAACTACACGCAATCTACTATGCGAGTAGAACTCTTGATGAAGCTTAATGTAATTACGCGACTACGAAAAAGGAGCTTTTAGCCATCGTTTTTGCATTTGAAAAGTTTCGATCTTATCACGTAGGATCTAAGGTTATCGTCCATACTGACCATGCTGCAATTATGTATATCATGTCTAAGAAAGATGCCAAACCGAGGCTGATCAGATGGATATTCCTGCTGCAAGAATTTGATATTGAAATCCGAGATCGGAAAGGAGCAGATAATGGAGTAGCAGATCATCTTTCTAGAATTCGAGTAGAAGAGAAACTCCCTTAAATGATAGTTTGCCAGAAGAAAATGTCTACGCTATGGAGACTATACTTATTGCCGTGCAAGAAAAGCCATCCCAACCTCCTATACGGAGTTCAGATGCTTTTGACACTCCATGGTTTAGGCATATAGCAAACTACTTAGCTGCAGACATCGAACCTCCACAATTCTTTGGTTATAAAAAGAAGAAATTCTTAAAGGAAATTCGGCATTATTTCTGCGATGAACCTTTTCTCTATACGAGATGTGTAGATGGTTTATTCAGAAGCTGTGTCGCCGAAGAAGAAATGCAATACTGTTTGGATGCCACAGTTCAGCGTATGCAGGACATTTCGCAACCTATAAAACGGTTTCAAAGGTTCTTCAAGCAGGATTTTGGTGGCCTACTATGTTCAAAGACACTCACGCCTACATTTCACGCTGTGATTCATGCCAACGAATGGGCAACATCAGCAAGAGGAATGAGATGCCTCAAAATTTCATTCTCGAAGTCGAAATCTTTGATGTATGGGGAACTGATTTCATGGGACCTTTCCCAACTTCTTTCGAAAACCAATATATCTTAGTAGCGGTAGACTATGTCTCTAAATGGGTATAAGCAATCACCAGCCCTACTAATGATGCAAAAGTGGTTATAAAGCTGTTTAAATTAATCATTTTCCCTCGCTTTGGAATTCCTCAAATTGTGATAAGCGATGGAGGATCCCATTTCATCAACAGAGTCTTCGAAAATCTGCTCAAAAAGAATGGAGTCACACATAAAGTTGCATCTCCATATCACCTTTAGACAAGTGGATAAGTTGAAATCTATAACATGGATATCAAAAACAACCGGCGTAAATCGCAAAGATTGGTCCGAAAAACTCGACAATGCACTTTGGGCTTATTGGACAGCATACAAAACTCCTTTAGGGTCCACGCCGTTCAATCTTGTTTATGGAAAAGCATGTCACCTCCCTGTAGAGCTAGAGTATAAAGCACAATGGGCTATTAAGGAGATGAACATGGACTTTAAGGCAGCTGGAGAAAGAAGAATGCTTCAAATGCACGAATTAGAAGAAATCCGCCATAATGCCTACGAAAACTCCAAGATATACAAGGAGAAGACGAAGGCATATCACGATAGAAGGATCATACATCGATCATTTGCTCCAAATGACAGATTTCTTCTTTTCAATTCTCGCCTTAAACTACTTCCAGGAAAGCTACGATCTAGATGGTCTGGACCCTTCACAGTAAAGGAAGTCAAACCGTATGGAGCACTCATTCTTTGGGGTAAGAAAGGAGATATATTTATCGTTAACGGACAGCGTGTAAAACCATACCTTGCAGAAGAAGAAAGAAGAGAATCAATGCTCTTGGCAGACCCTCCAGGCTAGAGCATCATCAAAGTCAAGCTAATGACTTTAAGCAAGTGCTTAGTGGGAGGCAACCCACTTGGTATTTTACCTATTCCCTTTGATTTGCCTTTTTCTATTTTTGCTTATTTGTTTTTGTTTTCTATAATTTCAAGTTTTTAACCGAAGAACGAATAAGAGGTGAACAGAAATCACGAACCAGAAAGCACATCACCAGGTAAGTACACCTAAACATTCCAAATTTCAGTCCATCATTATCCCATCCTCTCGAAGATCTCTCACACTGGGGGCAATGTGATTTAAGTCTGGGGGAGGATGTTCATCCTTTACTAATGAAATTTGGTTTGCCTTGAGTTTGTTTTTCATAAAAAGTTTTCAAAACAGGAATGCTGGAACAAAATCATATGCTTCTAGACTTTACATGCTAGTTCTTTTGTGGTTAGTACTAGACTAGGCGGTAGCTAGAGTACTTACACTACGAACTCCCACCAGAGGATTTCTATTCATGGAGATATTTTCTGCCTGGATACACTAGCTCATTTCACTTGAACATAATCTTGACATCTAATTCTCATCATTGGTTTTAGCAGGCATCATGATACACATCTAGGACATATTTACATCATTATTACCACTCTTTGTTGTCCTAGATGGCCAGTTCATCTTTAGCTGGTACCACACCCTTTACCCAAACCTTTATTTTTGAACCTCATGCATTCTCTCTTTAGTTTATATCGACAGATATGTGCAAAAACGCCGGAGAGGGAGGAACAACATAGTTTTCAGTCACTCAAGAGAAAGACTGAAAGAGACCAGAAGGGAGTGTGCCAAAAATCATATGATGCCTCAGGAAAGCTCATTCTTAAAGGTAAATTTCATTCTTCCTAAGATTCCAAGTCAAAAGGCAGTTTTCTCTTTCAAAAAATATAGGAGAAAAAGAAAGCAATGAAAGGAAACTAAAAGCCTAAAAGAGTTTTAGAAGCCTAAATCACAATTTGGACAAAAATCTAAGTCTGGGGGAACTATAAGGAGAACCTGAAGAAAGGAGATCAGAAATCTTGAAACAAGGAGAATGTGACTGAAACTGTGGGGGCATTTACAGTTTCATCCTCTCTTGCTGTTTTGCATAATGTCTTGTCTCTCCAGAAAAAGGTAACCCTAAACACTGAGAACCTCACCCTGAAATAGCCATTTTGAATACCTAGCCTTGATGGCTTTACTAAAGTCCTTTGATGAGAATCACTTGAACTTTTGAATGAATGTTAAGAGCTAGTTGAGTGGAAGATAGGTTTAAGTGTCTGGATTTTTGCATGACGGATCAACGGACTAGTTATACCTGTACTTTGGTGAGAATTTTCTAGACTATCCTTGATTTGAGCATAATGACTAACTCTAGTTTAGAAGCATGATC